AAGAGCATGTGATATACTTGAAGTCTAAGCTGAGTCTAAAGACCTAAAAACTAGGGGATCCTGAAGTATAACCCACAGTACAAGAGAGAAGACACTCAATTGATCAGGCAGGTAGGTGGGCACAAAAAGAAATGAATTCATCATTCCTCCATCTTTTTTTTCAGACCCCAAAAGATTGGAGGATGCCTCCGCTCATTGTCTTTACTTGAGTCTACAGATTCACACAGTGATCTCATGTAGAGGAACTCCAATAGGTACATCTAGGAAAGATATTTAAGCACATTTATGGGCATCCCCCAACAGGACAAGCAGACGTAATACTACGACTATCATTCTAATTAAAACTGTAGTTAATCTGTGATACGAATGTTAGCTACGTGTCAACTACATTACCATTTCTTATTTTAAACTGTACTTTGGTAAGAACTGAAGATGTTCATAGAAATCAGCTTTAACAGTCTTTAATGAGATTTAAATATTTTAATAAAATTTAAACCTATTTAAATTTAATTGATTTTTTAATGAGATATTAAGAATCTTGTAAACCCATGGTAATGGCTACAATGGTTAGAAGGAAAAATGTAGTTTATGGTCAATTCCATAACTTTTAGCCATGTTCTCAAAATATCTTAAGTCCTAGTTGTGTACGTTACATAGAATGAGTAGGACAAAATGAGGGAAGTTATTGTAACTTACAGAAGACAGTGAAATTGTTCATGAACTAGTACCTGGTCTCAAGTAGTTTTGATTCTTAAAAGAACAGCCTTACTATCACTTCTAGGTCTGTAATAACCCTGACGGGCATGACTGCAATAGACAAGCATTTTAGAACAGAGAGGAGAATACCAAAATGTCATCATTACTTTTCTCAAATTGCAGTCCCATCAGAAAATAAACATAGTTATTCTTTGTCAAGTAACCATCTTGTCATTATTTTAGGTTTATGTGTACGAAGTTACTTATTTAATTATAATTTGAATTCCTCATCCATAAGTGAAGTAATATTATGTTGAATCCACAGTATCCTATTCTCATCCTCACTGAATGAGAGTTCAGTGTGCATAGCTAAACACAAACCCACATAGTTCCTTCCTAGGACACAGATCTAAAGCTGTGGCTCTTCAAGTATGGAAACATTGCCTAGAGCAGTGGTTCTCAACATTTCTAATGCTGTGACCCTTTAATACAGCTCCTCATGTTGTGATAACCCCCAACCATAAAATTATTTTCATTGCTATTTCATAACTTTAATTTGCTACTGTTATTAATTGTAATGTAAATATCTGTGTTTTCTGATGGTCTTGTGTGAGCACTGTGAAGGAATTGTTCAACCCTCAAGGGAGTCACGACCCACAGTTTGAGAAGCAGTGAACTAGAGATAATATTTAGCAAAATCCAGGACATTTTTGGTTGTCTCAACTGGACATTGCTACTGTGATTTAGAGGAAGAGGTTATCTCATATCTTCACATCAGACACAGAACTCAAATTCTAATAAAGAGTATCCAATACAAATGTGAATAGAGACCAAACACTGAGTAGGCAAAAACAGCAAATGTTTGGTTAAAGTTCAAGAAACACATTTATAAAAGGCAGAGTATGAAAAAGAGAGGACGGGACAGAAAGGTCACAAAAGAACAAAATAAGCATGAAAAATATGTTGGCCAGAAACATCATAAATTGGACAAATAGGTCCAGACTCTTTTAATACCATCCTCTGTCCTAGCATGCCTCATATATGCAGCTGGGCTTTGTACACTGTTGTGTTCTCACCAACACGTCACTGTAGAGTGCCGAGGGATCAGTTGCACAAAATATCAACTGTTTGAATATGCACAAATATTTCATTGAGCAACTTACAAATTCCACGGAGTACTAGTTAGATGATGCTGAAAATCTCATATAAATTTCATATTAGGATCTAAGATTTAAAAAAATCTGTGAAAATAAATTTTAAAAAGTAATAGGAAGATTATGAGTTAAGAGTTTCATTTGCTCTTGTTTTGACTCCTTTCTAGCCATATAGATTTTATACTTATGAAATAATCTGTCAACAGCCAGGTTTTCTAGGAAATAGACACTCGTGGTAAATTTTACATGCCAATTTGGCTCAGTTGTGGTATATGGCTGTTTGATAAAACCTAAACTTGAAGTCATTATAAAGGTATTTTGTGGATGCAATTCCCATTTATGGTTGGTTGATCCAACCTAAAGGTAAGTGTCATGATGAAGACTTCAGTTAAAGGTCAATGAAGAAGATGAAAATCACAGAAAATATAAAAGAAAATACTATAATAGAAATGTTTCATGAATTTCCAGCCTTTGATACGCTACAGTCATGTGAGTGACTTTGAGAATCTCTCTGGAACACAATAGATTGATAGACAGATGAAAGAAAGGGGACTAGGCATGAAGGAAAACAGAGGAGAGTAAGAGAGGGAGGAGGGAGGAAGGAAGTGGGGGGGGAGAGAGAGAGAGTGAGAGAGAGAGAGTGAGAGAGAGAGAGTGAGAGAGAGAGAGTGAGAGAGAGAGAGAGAGAGAGAGAGAGAGAGAGAGAGAGAGAGAGAGAGAGAGAGACTCCTTAAACAAAAATTCTTTGTAATGAAATTGGGATTATTCAGATGATTGTTCCGTTTCCATGAGTTTGAATTCTAATTTTAAGCCATGTGGTCCACAATAGAATCCACAATAATTCTGCAAGGAGAACAGGCAGAAATATATAACTCCATATAGAAATAAATACCTCCATATATAAACTGTTGCCTCATTAAAGAATTGCTTACATGGGCCTTTATGCTATGGTCATCCATATATTAGTCAATATGAATTTTCTGAAGCACTAGTGAAATTTTTGTTGTGTTTAACCTTGGCGTCTTCCATCCAAAGCTTTCTGAAAGGAACAACCAAGTAGTGTGGCCACTGGTCCTCTAAAACATTGTGTTGATTTGTCATTATATCTCCACTCATTCTCCTCTTAGGTTAAACTATTTTATAAATGAGGAGGCCTACATTTGTGGACAACAAGGTACCAGAAAAAGATTTAAAGTCAGACACAATAAAGCACCTCTAAGAAGCGGGGATGGTAGCACCTCACCACAGGCCAGAAGAGAAGGAAAGGGCATATTTTCAAATGTGGCGGTACAAGTGCTAATTAATATTAGGTAGGGTTTAGCTATTAAGATGAAATAAAAATATTTTTTTAGAATCTTAGTTTGAGAATATACCTTTCCATTGTATTACTGAGGGTTTCATAGAACTCAGAACCTCACACCAAAAGCATAGTTTAGAGGTGTGAGAAAAACAAAATGAAACAGTCTCCTGGCTTTAACCTATTAAAAGTATTCTGCCTAAGACTAATTAAAGCAAAAGATAACTATCCAATAATTCTCAGTCCTCCCTCATATCCAGTTACATAGTTGGAATTTCATCTACTGAGTCCTATATATGGTTTGACAAATTGATTAATTTTTATCAAACAAATTCTGCTTAAAGTAACTCATGGAAAATCATATATCATTTCATCTATTAGTGATTTTTTCTTTACTTTATTTAAAAACAGAACAAACACCTACCATGAATACTATGAAATAGTAATCTTCATATTTCCTATGTTAGGTAGTATTATTGATCGACAGGTCCATCAGTTAGTGTATGTATCTACCACTCTTTTTCTCTTCCCAGTGAATCAATTCTCAGTAGCAACAGGACAAACCTGTTGTTTGTTAGCTGTAGATCTCCTTAGACAGCTAACTTGCCAAGAAAATTTTGGAGGGTTTATTTTTCTTCTCTAAAAATCTAGGTGTGGTGCTACATGTTCATAATCTCAGCTACCCAGGAGGCAAAGGCAAGAGAATTTCAAGTTTGATGCTAGTGTGGGCAATTTTTCAAGACCTTATTCAAAGTAAAATTACTTTAAAACTCAGGAGTATTTTACTTATATGCCAACGGCTTGGCATGTGCAACAAACTGGGTTCATCTCTAGTACCCTTTCTCCCCCACAAAAGGGATCTTTGAGCTAACCATCTTTCTCTCCCTCTGTCCTTCTGAGGCTCAGACATACCTTCCAGATATCTTGCCATTTCCCTCACTGGGACTTTCCAATGATGAATCCCTTTCCTGCCTAATCCCCTGTGCCAGCTGCTCTTCAATGGACTCCAAGTGGTGTGACACATCAGTAAGATTCTTTTGATTTAAATGAAGTAATTAACTAACTAACTAACTAAATAACTAACGCTTTCTGCTTTTAATGAGGAGTTACAGGACATCCTGTGCCTCTTTGTGAAGCCCTTCTTAGTGTTTCTTTAGAACACTATTGACTTGTCACACGATGTTAAGCTAGAATTGCACTTCTTGAAAGGAGAGAATCCACACCTTCTTCATCACAGTGTTTGTTCTATAATACGAACTCAACAATTGTTTTCCATTTAATGCCCCACTGAAAACAAGATGTCTGAAGTAATTACATGAACAATGGACCCATGGGGGAATATAAATCTTTCGAGATATGAAAGATGGCATGAGATAGGACACACATATGAATTTCCTTCTAATACTTCTGCTTTTCTATCAGACAAAATGTAAGACAGAGGAAAAAAATCTGAAAACAGTTAAAGTATCAGATGCATTGAATAAATATGTCATTTATAAAACAAGAACAAAAACAAACTGGAATGCCAAAATTCATGCTAGAGATGTAAGTTTATTTAAAATGAACTTGAGTGGAGGAATCTTAAGGAAATAATGGGAGAAGAAATTTAGAGGGGTGGATGGTAAAAGAAAAGATCCAAGCGTTTACATATTAATTAAAATACCAGCTCTCTCTTGTGGTAGAGTTGAAAGGTCAAAGGTTAAAGTTACTCTGTCCTCAGAAAATCATTTGCTTCCAGGTAGATTATGATGCTGAGTCCTAGAGAGACAAATGCTCATTGATAAATCCTAGGTGTTGGAGGAGCCGTTTGAATTCCATAAGGTGCAGAAACCATCATGAGACAACTGGGATGTTCAGAAACCAGACCCACAAAAGCGAGAGCTAAAGCCTGGCTGGTAATAGGATGACTGGATACTCTTGGAAGAAAAGTAACCTGGGCGGTAGAAGCTGGACCCACAGCCCTGAGAGTGAATGCCAGAGCTCCCATACCCGAAAGATCCAAAACCCGAGTTGCCATATCCAAAAGATCCAGTAAAGCCTCCATGGCAGGGCCTGGAAAAGTACTGCTTGGGCCGGAAGCAGGATGCCTGGAAGGATCTGGTCCCGAAGCATGGTGAGTGACACTCCAGGGGCTCATCGAAGGTCTCCTGCTGTCCATTGTAGAAAGAGGAGCCTAGCTGGAAGTTCTTTGGAGAATAGACAGCATTGCTGCTGGGGTAGAAGGAGTTGTAGCTGGAGACTGGCTGCCTCAGGAAACCTCCGAAGGACTGGGAGGAGAAGTTCCCAGAGTTGCAAACGTAAGACATGTTGTCAGGAGTTCTGGTTTCAGTGGAGCTGCAGTGACGAATCTGCGAGTGAGTGTGAATGCCACCATCTAACACGGGTCCTTATATACCAGAGAGATGGGTGTAGTGGTCTGTGTCGATTTTAATGAGAATGCCTAATTAGGCTCCAGTAAAAATGAAATACTTTAACCTTCAAAGGACTTTTTTATGAATGTGTACTTCTAAATGAAGGAATTTCATTAGTTTTCAAAGCAATTATTAATGAAGCAAAAATGCAGTTTCTCAATATCTACAGTAAGTCAAATGAAAGCCAACATAATTGAGTCTTTAAGGTAGATAGATGCTTTATTTAATTCCTGCCTTCAAGATATGATCCAATGGATGATGCAGCAATAATCCTGCAGGGTTCAACCCTCTACCAAAGCTTGTATTCTAGAAATAGAATTATGATGCTCCAAGTTTAGAAACTTGACTGAAGACAAAACAAAAGAAATCAACATTTTATATTTCTTCCTCCAAATGTTGTGGACATTATGAAGAGAACAATACTAATCCACAGAAGGAAAAAAATTGAAGATCATCATTGTTCATGATACACTTTGTCAACCTGTGTTTGTGTACGTGATTATATAAGGTTGAGAGGACCAATGTTTGCATGAGTGCTTAGAACATTAATTATATTATAAAAGGTTTCTCACAGAAACAGAATGCCTTTGTTGTCTTGCCTTCCTTTCCATTCTCTTCTTTTGTTTTCTTCTTCCCTCTTTTCTGTTCGTTCCCTCTGAGTAACATATTCAGAGCCTCATGTAAGCTCTACCACACTGGGGTATGCTGTCAGCCCTCTCATTTTTATTTTTTTGAATTAGAAATCAATGTCCCCACAACTTCACCGCTTTGTGGTAGAAGTCATTCATAAACTTAACAAGCTTGATTATCAAAATACCCTTATCTTCCTAAACTACGTCTCTCCCCTCTTGGTGTCACTGACAACAAAGCAGCAAGGCATAAACATTTCATGGCCATACTAGTTTTTATTTCAGACGGTGGGTTTTTTTTCCTGCATAAAGTTTAAAAAAAATTAAGAAATGTGGAAAGTATCTGTTGCATGCAAATGTCACAAAATGATCAAGGATTTGAAGAATTCACGGCTGTATAAATGACCCACATATATTGAAATGTGGGTAGGGAAGGTTATCAAAAGAGAAGAGAATGTGAATTGGAGAAGAGATGATTTGGGGGTTAATTGTGTATCTATCAATTAGCTTATATATTCTTCCTAGAAAACTAAGTCTTGGGATTTTTGTGTATTTTTCCGTTTGGCACAACATAGATAACTGTACAGGAAATTGCCTAAATAACCTCATGGAAATGGAAAAACTTTGTATATCATCCGTTCTTGGCATAAATTATATTCTACATTGAAAATGAGCTGAGACTAATTTTATGAGGAATTATGATTACTTGGTCTAATCTTGAAGGATGAATTCAAAATGAGCTGTTCTTGTAGGTAAAGAAACTTCTGTCCTGGAGTTCTGGGAATACTGAATCAGGTTCCTGTAACTAGAATTCTGATCTGATTAAAAAAAAAAAAAAAAGCTGGAAACATTTGCTAAAATCTCCCACAAATTCTAGACTTCTATGAGTCTGAACATTTTAAGTTAATAAAACAAAGAAGAAAAGAAGAAGAAATAAAGAAAGCAAATAATGCTCTCTCATCCAAAAAAAAATCGCTATTGTTCAGAACTAGAAGGAAATGTTGTTCTATATATGAAACAAATCAAACATCACCTAAGGCTCACCAATAGCCCTCTACACTTTCTCCTCCTCCAGCTCCAGGCATCAGTCTTCATTAGACTCTTGCACTGAGGTGGAACACAAGCCATGGAAATCGAGGAAATATGACCCTCACTTTGGACATGTTGCGATACTTGTCAGAAGCACCTGAAAACAATTTAAGTCAAAGTGATATATGCTGCCTTCGGGGCAGAGGAAGCATCTCCTGGCGATGGCTGCTTTGGCCTGACACCTCAAGGCAAGTGCTTTATAAGCTTTCTTTAGAATGAGGACATTTACCAGGTTATGGAAACTGTTTTCAGTGGGAAATAATGACCCTCATTAGAGACGGAGACACATTGAACATCATTACCTCAAGATTTTTTTCCTTTTAATGCATTTTATCATCTTAAGTGAATAATCTTTAGCATTCAAACCAGCACAAAGCATGAAGTGTTTAGCTCACAGCACAGTTAACCACTCCCACCCCACCCCCATACCCACCCACTGACACACACACACACACACACACACACACACACACACACACACACACACAACTTATACTGGCATTTAATTTCTGGATTCCATTCTTAGACAGATGCATGAGAAATAAGGATTTCTCCCTATTACAGTAAAGCCATTTAAACTGAGGTCCAGTTGTTTTTTTTTTTTTTTTTTTAAGTCCTCATACATCTTGCATATCAGTGTTTGGATGATACTATTCATCACAGAAGCTTGCCATTTTGAGGCAGCAATCAGTGTGTGTTTTTGTTTAAAAGAAGTGACTATGAGTGGATCAGCGAATCACTTTGCTAGCCAGATGGCAACAATTTTTGGACAGATTGTGCAACGGGTATCAATTATTTTTAATTAAGCTAGCTTCCCTCAGCCCAGACAGTCTACCTCTAAAGCAGTTTTCTGAGTGATGTGCAGGGTGACCTTTTGCTGATGGAAGATGAATAATAGCTTTGAAGACTGAACACTATTACCTGAATTCCAGGGCCGCAGACATCACTGCTCTATCCAGTTTGAAACCACACGAAAAGTAAATATGCATGACTGTGATGGTATTTTCCATTCAATTAAAGCCGGAGGTAACTTGTGTTCATGCGCTATGGGGATGACGCACCCAAGGACAGGGGTATATAAATGCCGTATGTCCAAGCAGGGTCATTCAAACTCTGAACACCCTCCTCCGCAAAGACTTCTCTCCTCTCAACATGTCCTACAACAGCTGCTCTGGAAACTTCTCCTCCCAGTCCTTTGGGGGCCACCTGCAACACCGGATCTCTTCTTGTGGTTCCTCCTACCCCAACAATGTCTTCTACAGTACTGACCTCCAAACTCCCATCACCCACCAGTTGGGCTCCTCTCTCCACAGTGGGTGTCAGGAAACCTTCTGTGAGCCCACCAGCTGCCACACATCCTATGTGGTCTCCAGACCCTGCCAGAGGCCTTGCTACCACCAGAGGATTCCAGTGTCCTACAGACCCTGCCAGTCACCTTTCTCAGGATCTCTGGGCTTCGGTTCCAGGGGCTTCCAGTCTTTTGGTTGTGGCTACCCAACCCTGGGCTTCGGATCCCGTGGTTTCCAGTCAGTGGGATGTGGTACTCGCACTTTTTCATCCCTAAATTGTGGGTCCAGCTTTTATCGCCCAACCTGCTTCTCTTCTAAAAGCTGCCAGTCTGTTTCTTACCAGCCAACCTGTGGGAATGGCTTCTTCTGATCTTCTACTGGGGAAACTAGAAATGTAAAAGGTGCCTCCTACCTACTGGGTTAAGAGCCACACTGTCTTTTGATCTCTTATGTTAGTCTAGGAATTTGACTTCTACTCACACTTATGAGTCCCTGTAATTGGAACATGTATTTCATTGGAGATGCTAAATGGTTTTCTTATCGATGCATAGACTCGCAAAAGTCAAACGTAATTCTTTCTTCATGTATCTCTTAGTAATTTCTCAAACTGCCAATGCCTTTACTTTTATGAAGGGGAAGGATGTAAGTTTAAATAAAAATATGCAACTGGACATCTATGTATCTTGTGAGGACCATTATTACTTTCATCTTCTTGTCTTCAAAACTATTTCAAAATATCTCCTTAAGCTTTGCTGTATCTTGCATTTGCCATTTTAATTTTAAAAAGTAAATTCATCCTTTTGTATTCATAGAATTTTTTCAACTTTTCTGTTTCTCCATCTGTTAATAGTTTCACACAGTGAAAGGAAGAAAACACATTATTAGGATGGAAGACTGATTTTTCTGCTACATAGGGAATTAGAAACCAATATTTTGTATAAAATTATAAAATGGAGGGAATATTAGGTAGACTGTGCCATATAAATTTGGAAGAGAGATTATTCTTATAAGCTACATTTTAAAATATATGCAAAATTGCAGGCAGGTAAGAAGTTACATGATCATGAGTTAGGTGGAAATGGGATCCAGTCCCTCCACCTTGACTGCCAGATTGAAATCTCTAAATGAAATCTATAACACACACAAGAGTTGCTAATAAATATGGCTAACATTGCTCAGATATTAATTATATATTTTGGTGATGTCTCAGTTTGGCTTTATGTTTCTGGGGTTTGATGAGAAACCTTTAAAAAATATTAAAAACCTGTGCAAATATTCTTTTATTTCAGGATTTTCTCCGGTGTAGAAGTGGGATGTCGTATTTGAATAGTGGACTATGTCACTCAGGCTTCATCAGTTAATTCCAGGTATCATTACCAAAGGTGGAGATGATTTAGCCCCTAGGCTCAACATATGCTGCTTTTATTCCAGCTTTGTCTCAGCATCCAGTTTCAATTGTTAATTGTCTCATGATTTTCCTTTTACCGATAACCAATAGTAACTTCTTCATCATGCATAAGGCCTGGTCTAGGGAACTATTAGTCTACTTTTGCCATGGGTTCATCTGGTGGGGTTCAAGCTAACTAATTTTGTTAAATTTAGGACAAGAGAAGTCTCCCATTTTTAAAACATTCTCCTAACAAAAGAGAATATTTTCCATTCAAAGACGGAATGCAGAAGGATCGCAATGAGAGAAATTATTGTTATTATAATATACAGGACAAGGTACGTAGCTAAAAAGATGACCTACGTGGAGATGGGTCTCTCCTTTTCCTTTCCTCGGTTTGAGTGTCATGGGCAGGTCCGCGGCCAGCATGATGCAGTAATACCCACTATCCACCAGTAGGTGGAGGTAGTGGGAAAGTTAGGTGTACATGAAGTATGGGCA